GTGATTAGTATGTAAGTAATGCACTGGGGTTGTTTGTTTATACTGAGAGAATAAAGATCAAATTATGAAACAGGTATCAGCTTAGTTACCCAATACTACTGACATTGGGAGGTCAGGGACCTGTAACTATTTCTAGGCTCTGTGTAGAACACATTTGTAAAAGCTGTGCAATAGCTTACAAAGACTAAAGAAAGCTTATGATCCATGAATTAGACTTTAAAATATAGAAGTCATCTAATGCCACCAACCTTACCATTTTTCATTTCCAATTTCTAGTAGATCTGAATGCAGCTTAAGAAAACCCACATGTCCTCATCATGTGCTGATCTCATACATTTCCAGAATAGTGTAGTATACTGTATAGTATTACCAGCTGGAACTTCCAGAGAACACCTGCAGTCAACTAGTGTTCAATCCAGATAGATACAAGATAAATTTCTTTGAAATAAAATTGCATATATTTCTGAAGTAAGGAGAAATTGTAAAAGGTGGCTATGAAAGTGACAGCACATTGTAAGTTTTGGGAATCTGCATTCCAATAGAGTATTTTTGCCATGTATATGTATACATTCGAACTAAATTGATGTTTCTATGTGTCGTGTGTGTATGTGGGTAAATGCATAATGGTTATCCTTTGAGAGATGAATGCAACAAAATTTCACTTTAATGTATGCTGATCAGTATACATTTAAAATGACAATAAAGTTCTGTTCTATTCTGTTCTGTTTTATTCTATTCTATTCTAAATGTACTATGTGATTGTTTGCATTGTATACAACTTAAGAGATGGGAGAAAATCAGCATCCAGTAATACTTCCTACTTGCAATGTCTATTTTTGAATACTGGATCATCAAAATATATATCTTCCATTTGAGAGAGATACACCCACAATTTACCAACTTGTAAGCAATTGTGACTTCAGCGTTATGAGGAATTCTTAATATATCAAGTTCATGAATTCTTGTTGAAGATATTGCACCTTGGCCTATTTTTGATTTTAAAATTTCTGTTTACACAAAGAGTTACATGCTAACTTGATAGAAGATTTCAGCATAATCAATGAAAACAGAGCTCAAGATAATTGACCTCTTCACTTCTTGATTTTTATTTTATGTTTGATGTTGTAATTTGCTATAGCTTCATTTAATCCTTTCTATATTTTGAGATAATAGTATACCGGTAAGGAGGACAATGACAGCATGAAGCTTCTGCTGACAAGCAGGATTCCTTATACACTGAAGAAATTCACTCCATAGTTAAACATTTCCACAAGAACTTATTGATCTAGCTTTAATATTTATTTAAATCAGCCTTCCTCAATGTGCAGTCTTTTAGATATCTTGTATTACAACCCAGATCACACTGAGTACATTGATTGAACTGGTGAGAGTGGTGGGTATAGTACAATACACCTGGAAGGTGCTTTATGAGGCAAACTAATCCACTCAATATAAATATCTGTAAAATCAAGTTGTTATGTGCATTACAGAATGGCAACAGTCACTTTTGTACAGTATTTTTATCAGTATTCTTTATAGAACAGAAGCTAAATTACATGATTAATATTTCAGATTGTTTAAGTGATATGACTTTAAATTATGAACAAAAACATGCATTATAAAAATTACTCCTTCTCCTTATTTTGTTTATGTTAATGTATAGTGTGTGTGTCTGTGTGTGTGTGTGTGTGAGACACAAAGTAAATCTTGCATGCCCTTCCAATATGTTATTCCATAAAAATATCTACAACTTATTTAGAAGAAAACATCCATGTTCTTATTCCGAAGGGATGTAATGGGCAAAACAGTATCATCTTCCAAAAGAGAAATGTTATCAATTAATTTAATGTTGAGGTGACCTTCTGGGTGGTAGACATATTTTGTCATATTTGAGAGATACTCATATGTTCCTTATTTATTCCAGAATTGGGATAAGTATGTTCAGAAATCTTGCCATCAATTGTAGGCATTTCCTTCCTACAAGTAGCTGTCTGATCAATCTAGAGGTCTAAGCAGTACCTGAACCCAACTCCCCTACAATGCTGCAACATTATTCAGGAAAACTATGGCTCAATCTTCCCATGACTGAACTGGGGAAAGTATATGCAGATATAAGTACATATTCATTAGAATGGGATGAAACTGGCAGGAGAGTTAGACCCAGAATTAAATGTTCCAATTTTCCTAGAAATTTGTGTATACGTTTTTAATGTAATGTAATGTAATGTATTTTGAGCATAACAATGATTCTGTATACCTCCTGTATACAGAATCATTGTTGTAATCTTGTAACATGTTTAGTTATATTATAAATACACTTATTATAGGTAAGATAAAACTGTCTCCAATCTTTGGCCAAGACAATTCTTATACCTGTATTCACAGTCTCTTTGGTTATATTGCCTAAAACACACACAGGGAATGTAAAAATGGAACATGCATAAAACCAAGGAAGAAATTGGATGGAAGAGAGAAATGAAGAAGTATATAAGGTGGGGAGGAACAAATAGGAATGAGATTTTTAAAGAAGTACATACTTGTAAAATTGGAAAGGAGAATTTAGTTCAGCAAGTCACTACAATAGATAACTTGCCCGGCAGAGCTATCTGATACCCATTATAAGGATTGCTCACAAATTCTTTAGTATTTATCTGAATACATCCAATTGCACACCACTGCACTGTATAATAGTTTATACTGTCAAACTTTTTAATTTAGAAGGGATTTTTGTTGACATTTTATCAGGTATGTTTTTCTATAACTTAAAATCTATTATTTCCCATACCATATGCTGGGTTGATACATTGATTCAAGTATTTGTACCTTCCTTCCTCCCAGGTTTTTTTCTCCTCAACACTCCCAATTCCTACAATTCTTCATCATAAATTTCTACTTCCTTGATCATCCTCACTGTCCATCTTTCAGATCATTTCTCTGAATCCTTCTTAAAGTGTAGTGCCCTGATTTGGATACAAATAGGTTTGAGAAAATAGGACAAAGTGAAATGATTGCTTCTTGTGATTTTGAAAGTTTGTGTCTGGCATCTTTAGAGAGGCTCTTATTCATCAATGCTTTGAAATTTTGAGCAGAGTGACGGTGATATCCTTTCTCACGTCTATGGCTTATTATTTTCCCTCCTTTTTACCATCCCCTCTCAAACCCAGCTTTTAGTCCTCCATGCAGGCCTGTTTACAATCTGTGGCCTTTTTCTTTACACAGGAGTCCTGACAATAGGATACCACAGTAATTATTCTTAGAATATTATTTTTCACAAATACTATTGGCAGGTCAGTAATTGCTGTTTGCATAGTGTCTCTTCACACCAATCACACCATAAAAGGTCATTTGTATCAGTATATCTTTGCAACCACTACTCGAAAGATAGAGTGACTGACTGCAAGAGCTACTTAGATATAAAGCTGAACCTACTGAGCTTCAACTTAATATTTCTCTTCTTGTTGTGGCATTATGTGCATAAGAATTTAAAAAGTAATTTTTTAAAAAATCAATTCCTTTTTGGTGCCTAGTACACTGCTTTGCCCTTTTCAGCCTACAGGTGGCACTCCATAGAAGAGCTTGACTCAAAAAGGCTGAGTTAAATACTTCTGTCTCATCTTATTACCATAAATTAACATCAGTCTGGATTACCCCATTCCTTTCTAGTTCAGGCTTCAAAGGCCTTATTTCCTACACCAATTGGTTGTGTGGGAAGTTATCATCCTGCCCTCTCCCAGAAAAATGCAATATCCTAGGAAATATTGAAAAGGCAGAATATTTCTCTGGATATGAAAAGAAAGAAACATGTTTTAAAAGACAGAATAGGTGCCTGTAGCTTCCTGCCCATCCCCACTGTTAATGGCCCATTGAGAAGGCCAGGCTAGTCCCTTTTACATAATAAAGACTTCTCCACTGCAGCCCCGGGGGGGTGGGAGTAAAGGCATGATAATATTGGCCCTTTACTCAACTGACCACATGGCATCTGAGAACTCATTCATACCTGGATTCAAAACACAGCCTAGAGAGTTGCCCCTGCATGGCCCTATGGGGGTCTGACAACCAATCAGAATACATTTCTTACACAGGAACAGGAAACAGAGAGGTGCGACTAAACAGGTTATAAAAAGCCTAGCAAGCCCCTCCTTCAGCCCTTCTCTTCTTCTCCACCAACATTGAAGCATGTGATCAAGCCATGTGGCCCTGTCCAACAATAAACCATCTTTCCAAGCAGCCTTCATGTCTCCAGTGTCTTTTTCCCCACTTGGAGCTGAACCCAGAAGGACATTTCTTTCATCAGTTGTAAAGAGATCACCAACATTCCACACCAATTTTATACTTAGAATCTGTGTATTAGTAGTCTTTTTAGGATGTTTTTCCAAAGAATGATTTCAGGTGTCTTGCAGTATCATCTTTCTATAACTGCTTTAATTTGAAAATTTAGAAGGAAACAGAAAATCTATTGACATTTACTATGAGATAACAACTGCAATAATCAGCCTGATGAGTTCACTTAGGATTTTATCTAACAGAAAGAGTAATATACTGTATGTAATTTTGAACAAAAATATCTTTCTTATACATGTAGAAAAACAAATTCTACTGAAATAAAATATCTTCAGTAAAATTGTGCTCATCTTATTAGGTGCCATCTGCAGATTGCTTCACATTTATCTCTACTAGGAGATAGAACTATACACGCAAATAGAGGCTTTTTGTATTTCCTAAGCCTGCTTAAAAGCTGAAATGATCGTAATTTAGTCCTATTACATGCACGGTGTTGAACAGCTCAGAGAAATGAAATAGTTGAAGATTGTCTCATATACATCATTTCTTCACAAATTGCTGATTGACATAATTGTTAATGTCTGGGTGAGCACTATGCATACATAGATGGATCATAATTTATATGTTTAGGCTCCAAGTAGAAAAAATGCTAGTAGATTTTGTTTTGCTGTATTGAATATTGACTGACAAATGTATGAATTTTTTTTATCTGAACAAAAATGTATTTTATTTGATTTTGATAGCATGTTGTGTGATTTGTAAACTATAGTTTATAGGTTACAGTGATAGCAAATACAGGCAATTTTGGTTTATTCTATAAACCACAGGTAAAGAAAACTTGGTTACAGATCAAACTATGGTTATCAATGGGCAGCATTATAATAATTGTTTTAATCTGCAGTTCTAGTAAACACATACTGTGGTGGAATCCAATTCTCACAAGTACTTTAATAATAGAAGAATAGCAATTAGCCATATAATTACCCAACAATCATAAAACCCTTGGGACAGTCTTTCATGTTGAGCCTAAGCTTTGTTTCAAGGATGCAAGAGGGAAATTAGGTCGACATCTTGACCTGTCTGGAGAAAACACAGACTAAAATAACAGATAAAGAAACCTAATATAAATCAATAAGCACAATTTGTACCATAAATGTCCCTAGTTATCCTGAATCTAATCAATAATTTCATAATATATTAGTTGTCATGATCTGGCTTCAAAATTTATATGACCCCAAAACTCCAGGAGATACCCCCAAATCTGTGGCTATCTCTCTATCATCAGCAGCAAAAGTTCCCTGCTTTTATTACCTTGAAGAGAAGAGGAAAAGCAGTCAAAGATCTTTTAGAAATGTATTCATCCTCTCTAAAGAAGCATGGCCAACTATTGTATGGTCTTTGTCAACCTATATATGCTTCAGCTCTTTGCTGAGTGAATCATATCTTTATAGAAGAGTTGAGAAATTTGAGTGTTCAGAAATAAATTCACAGCAGCCCCAGCGTGCATGGTCATTCTGTATCAAACGAAACACTGTTCCTTCCCCAACTGTTATAGCCCATTGGCCCAGTATTGCAATGCTTTTCAAAATAGTTTTGAGTAACTGCTTCAAGCATTGTCAAAAGAGCCAGGGATAAAATAATATGGAAAAATGGCTGCAAAACAAGACAGAACTTACTGCTCAGAAAAACAGTGGGGGAAACTCTTTTGATACCTCAAACATTTGCATTTTTACCTGTTCTATATCATATTTTGAAAGGGATCCAGATCAGGAAGAAAGGTTCACTGTCTAAAGGGCAATGACTTTCTGCAACCACAGGTTTACTTCTAGCCTGTTTGGATATTGTGGAAAGGTGTTTCTTTGAAACATGAGAAGGATCTGGATACAATTTTGTTTTATAGATGTTCCTGAAATTTTGCAATCTTGAACATCTGTAAATTGTATTTTACCGTGTTTTCCCCCAAAATAAGACCCATTAAAAAAAAAAAGCCTTAGCGTGTTTTCTGTGCCCAATAAAGCCCTAGCCCTAAAATATACTTTATTTAAGCGCCTGCATAGCCGACCGCTTGGCCATTCTGGTTACCTGCAGTGCCAAGATGAGATGAGGTGAGGCAAGAGCTGATGGAGCTGCCCCACACGCACACTGGCTTACCACAGGGCTCCCATAACCAAGCCGTCCCCTCCCAAAAACTGCTGGGCACGGTGGCTCCGATAGCTCTAGCAAGACCCTGCATGTTCGCTAGCCCACTTCTTCTGCTTGCTTGGTGGGGGAGGCTGAGTGATGGGTCAGTGTCACAGCCACGAGGTGAGGCAGGTTTCAGTGCATGGCTGGCCTGGCTGCAGAGGCACTGAGATAAGCTGGTGCGGGGTGTGTGGGCAGCTCCACCTCCCCGCCTTGTGGCAGCGGCACTCAAAACAAATAAGAAAATATCCTCCCCACCCCAAATAAGCCCTAGTGCTTATTTCAGAGCCCAAAAGAAAATAAGACTGGCTCTTATTTTTGGGGAAATACAGTATTGGTGAATTCTGGGCCTGTATTAATATATGCAACAGTTATTTCAGGACTTTAAAAAAAATTAATCAAAAGTTAAAAGAAATAAATTATAAGATAACCGATGCATCAGGCAAGCAATGTGAACAAAAGATTTATTGTTTCTGTGTATTGGTAGGAGTTTATGTGTGGCTGATTTCTAATAAATTGTAATAGTCTCTGAAGTGTAAAATGTGTTTTACTATTAAAAATTATACTTCAAATATTAAATACTGTTATATACATTATGATTTCATTTTTTAGTTCTAACTGTAAATGTTATGGTTTCCAAGTATAAACCAGGAAAGTAAAAGGAAGTAATTATATAAACACTCAAATATTCATGTGTGTATGTGTATGTATATATGTATGTATGTATGTGTGTGTGTGTGTGTACACACACATACATACGCTGTTTTTCACATATGAAAAACATGAATGAAGCAAGATATAAATGGCCTAAGGTTTATCAGTGTGTTTGTATGTGTGTTTGTGTGTGTGTAGTCACTTATCTATTTCATATAAAATAACAAAATATATATAGAGAGGCATGTTGTTAATTTTAGTTTTTACATAGTAAACAAAAGAGTTTTTAAATGTATGGCTTTGCAGAGATAGATTATGAAGTGACTTCTTTTTATTTATTTAAAAGCGTTTTAAGAGAACGTGTTAGTGTGCTTACAATAGTGGCCATGGTGGTCGAATGACAAGCCAAAAGTTTCATGCTAGAGTTACTCGAACTCTTTCCACTCACTGCTTCAGCAGCCTTTAGAAGAGAAATGTAGTTGATTACAACCTCATCTACTTTCACTATAATCTCCTCCTGCTGTGCTTTAGAGTTCATGATTTTAACTAAACGCATGCAGGCTTCTGTTAAGCAACAGAGAACTTGAAAGCTTGAAGTCATTGCTACAAGCATTTCCTCTGGGCTTTTTTCAGCCATGGCCATTTTCCTGCAGGCACTTCCCAACTGTTGTGATTCTACAGATAACAGTTGTTTGTACTGAGAAAGTTTAAGGTCATGTGTTTCTGGATGATCCTCCTTCGTGCCCACACTTGACCAGACCAAACAGAGTAGCTCATTGGCATCCTTTTGTGCTGCAAGAAATCCATCAGGCACTGCATAATTCTTCTCTTTCATGGCTCTGAGTCTTGCAATTTGTGCATCAAAGGACATGTTACTGAGATCTGGCTGATTTCGGCTTTTGCCTTCTTGACTGTCTCCTGCTTCTCTGAGGGCCTCTACACCTTTCCCCTTGTGTTCCTCATTTTCAGTGGAAGAAGTCTGAGTAGTTAATTCTTCTAATGCACACTGCATCTCTGGTTGACAGAGAGAGGAGAGCTGAGTGCTGCCTGCATATTCAATTTCATCATCGTCATCAGCATTCCCCGTCGTTAGGAAACAAGAGCTAAAAGGGCTGCGGCATTTCCAGTTGCTCACGTCTCGTTTTCGTAATGGTAACGTTCTGTATTGCTTGGGCTCCTTTTGGACAGCATTCAAGAAAAAAGATCTTCTACTGTTCATGCTGATGTTCATGGAACTTTGGGAATAACTTTTAGATAGCTTTTTGCCGAGAGGAAGTCCTCCTCTTTTTTCTAATTTTGAGTCAGATGTTTCAGAAATCTCTGAACGTAATACACTGACGGCAGCTTTCTCCTTCCCAAGAAACATCTCAATGCCTGTAGTTTCTGTAGTGATGCTGCTGCTGCGCCGCAAAACTTTCTTCTTCTGTGGCATTCTGAGGCTTCCTCCGATTGTATCATATGGCCATAAACTGACTGCTACCCCACCTGACAGGTTGACTTTGGGAACATCAAAAGAGTCTTGGTTTTGACTTGGCACCTTTGATTCTGAGTGAATGTAGGATGATAGCAGGATGGAACCAGCTCTGGGCTGTCTAGGAAAAGCTGAAGGTGTGCCTCCTTGTCTTTCACGCACAGGTTCTGTGAAAGCTACACTAGGGGTAGTAGAAGTACAGGGAGAATTATTAAGAATCTTAAAACAAAACAATTTCATGTCTAAACACTTCAGTCTTACGGTATTTGTTTTATTAAGGCTTAATAGTATGAATAAATGTTGTACCATAAGCAAAATAAACATATTCAGATATAGCTCTTTTTGAAGAGATCATTAGAAAAATCAAAACTGTTAAATCAGTCCTGCTGACAAGCATCATATAAAAACTGGACTTTTTCTTGACTTTGGAATTTGAATAGTACGCCTAGTCTATTTCTATTGAAGGGTATGCATATTCTATGTGGTATCTTCATATAACCTTAGTCCTTGCTCCCCTCTGAATAAATGCAGCTCTACTCAACACAAGATTTCTCATTCTTGATGCCATACAAGCAAATAACATCAGGAAAGAGAGTTTTGTTTTGTTTTTTGGCTTTTGTGTTTGGTCTGTGATCTCTTGGAGGCAGCAAGTTGATAATTATTTGAAATACAATGCTAAAGACCAAAGACTTTTGATCTTACTCAGGAAATAAATTATTAAATTCTAATCAGTAAATGGATTCTCGTCGGGATACTATTAGGCAGGCAGTATGTTGCAAGTCACTTACACACTCTTTGGTGTGGACCTTCTCACAACACTAGCCAAATTAATTGGAAAATGCTGAAATTTGGTGTATTTTTTTTAGCTTGTCTGATTTTCTAAAATCAAACCCACAGCTTTCTAAAAAGCACCAAAGGGCCACATATATCAGCCTCACCATTCTGCTTATTGTTCTTCCCCCTTAAGTCTTGAAAATTGAACTGAACAACAAAAATGCACCTCTAAGCTATAAAGAGCTTTCTCAACCTTCTAGAACCATGATGGCGAACCTATGGCATGTGTGCTCAAAGTGGCACACAGAGGCATGTCACCTGTCACATGCGGCGTCCCCTGTTCCTCTCCTGGGTTTGTGGCGCACATGCGCCAATCAACGCCTTCGTGCAAGCAGCAGTGCTGGAAACCGAAGAGCTGGCTTTCCGTTTCCTGGTGTGCGCATGCGTGCCGGCCAGCTGATCATCACACATGCATGCCTACTGAAAATCGGAAGTGCGTGTGCCGGAAACCAGAAATTCGTTTCCCGGCACGTGCATGTGCTTTCCTGATGAGCATGTGCACGCTCCCCCTTTTCGGCATTTGATGCCGAAAAGATTCGCCATCAGTGTTCTAGAATATCACTCAGTAATGTAAATATGGTTAAGATAGGGGTAGTAGTTGCCTTGGGGTATACAGGAAGGGGGTGCCAGTTGTTTTTCAATTAAAAAAAATAAGTGCTGATAAATCATAGGTATGCATTCAGATTTGCTTGAATCACTGATGGTTATGTCACCTTCTGTCAGTTGAGGATTAACTAAAAATACAATTTGACTCAGGGTGCCTAAACTTCTTCCTTTAAATACAGTCTGGTATTTATGAAAATATGTCTCTTCAATAACAGAATTTGAATAGCTTTGTTTTTATTACTATAATTTACAAAAAGTTTGTGTTCAGAAATTTGCCTGATTTCATCCACTTATAATTGTTCTGAACATTTAAGCATCTAGAGTTCAAGGGAGTATCAAGGCATTTGAATAGCACAGTTCCTTTTTTATCTTTAATAAAATTGATTCCAAATAATATTTTGGCCATTTGTTCTACCTGCGCAAATAAAGAGACATTTTAAGGGGGCATGCTAGCCATATGTAATCCTTATGTTTGTTTCCTTAAATGGTCACTGAATGAAATTGGAGATTATTTCTAAATTTTATCTATTTATTGTATATTGGAAATAGTTTTAAAATATTTACTTTGCATTTATAATTTCAAGTCTGTTTAATATTTTTCACTTCAAACTTCCAGTACCTCATCCCATCCAATGTACAGATTGAAGTACATTTTTTAAAAATTGCAGATAGTCCTTAATTTACTATCAGAATTTTGCCCAAAATTTCTGTTGTTAAGCGAGATCTTTGTTAAGTGAGTTTTGCCCCATTTTACAACCTTTCTTACTACAGTTGTTAAGCGAATCACTGCAATTTTTAAATTAATAACAAGATTGTTAAATGAATCTGGCTTCCCCAATGACTTTGCTTGTCAGAAGGTTACAAAAAGTGATTGTATGACCACTGGACACTGCAACCATCATAAATATGAAACAGTTGCTAAGCATTTGAATTTTGATCACATTACCATGGGATGCTGCAATCATCATGTGGAAAATGGTCATGTCACTTTTTTTCAGTGCTGCTGTAACTTTGAACAACATTAAATGAACTGTTGCAAATCAAGGACCACCTGCACTGAAATCATTTTAATAACATTTTAACAGGGATACAGGTAGACTTTGTTTAATAACTGTCCTATTTAGCAAATATTCAAAGGTGCAACAGCACTGAAAAAAGTAATTTTACAACCAGACCTCACATTTATGACAGTTGCAGCATTCCTGTGGTCATATGATTGCCACTGGCAAGCTTTAAAACTTGCTTTCAACAAGCAGAGTCAACGGCAGTAAAATCACAAATTGAAGTCACGTGATTTCTCACTTAATGACCAAATGGAAAAGGACATTAAATCCATTATGGTCATATGATGTTTCACTTAGCATCTCTGTCACCTAATTATGAAGGTGAGATCCCAATGGTGCTAATCCCAATTGTGGCCATTAAGCAAGGGCCACCTATATTCCTCTTTACTTCAGTACTTTTAGACAATGTATTTGTTTTATATGCATTATTAGATTAATGGCTTCATGCTACTGTACCTGTAGTTTCTTTAATCTTGGGGACCCTGTGACATCCATCTTTTAAAGTCCCAAATAAAGGATCAGCAGAATTAGCTGCAGAATGCATAGCAGGCACAACCATTCTGTGACACACAGTTTCGGACTGTTGATGCAGCTCCTTATATGATGTTCCATGGTTAGGATGCATGGCAGCTCTGTCTTCTACTGGAATATAACTGATGCTTTTTCCTGTCATATCAGGCATAATGTGCTTAACATCAGAAGTACAAAGAGGAGATTCAACTGGAGTTCCACATGTACTGCTGCCTGTACTACATCCTGCATCCAGTGAAGAGCACTGTGAATTTTGCAGGGAAAAGTGACCTTCACTCTGCAAAGACGACATGCGTTTAGCTAAGTGATACTCACACAATCCAGTCATACAGTGTTCAGCTTCTGGAAGCTTTGAAAGAGGATCATCTGTAGATAAATTTGTATCTTCAGAATCCTTTTGGTCTTTGGATAAAGGCAGAGTAGTTGTACTAGACACAAAATGTTCATCTAGCTCATGCCCTAAGACACCACTGTGGTCAATCTCAGGATGCATTTCATCTTTACAGTTCATATCTGCTTTCCCAATCCTGGAAACTCTGGAAACTGTCTTTCCATTCATTGTTTCCAGGTCTGTTTTCTCTACTGCCCCTTCATCTAAAACAGCATACCATCTTTGATTGTCCTTGCGAAAGGCAGTTCTCTCTGCATTAAAAGTGCCTCCATGTTGACCCTCCCTTGAGGAAAGAGTTTTACCCTTTTGCTCATTAGTTTCTATTTTTTTGGGTCCTTGTTGCTTTTTCATAACACCACTGCCATCAAGATTAGTTTTTCCTTCCCCATCAATCACCTTACTTTTACGTTTAGTAGTGCAAGAATATATTGTAGACCCCATGTGCAGCTTGCTAAAATATTCAGTAACAGATTTTGTTTCCATGGTTTCTGGTTCCATCTCCATGCTATCTGAATGAAGAATCTGCTTTGAAGGCACAACTTTTGACTGGAGCTCTGGAGCTTGCTGATTAGCAGACGAATGTACAGATTTCATTAGCAGCCCTCCTACCTGATTCTTGGTAATGGAGAATTCAGCCTGTGATTCCAATAGAGGTTGGTAACCTTCATTAGTGGGTAAAAACATTCGTGTGGAATTTTCAGTCAGTTTCTGTGCAGTGGCCAATTCAGAATTTTCAGTCATTTCAGAAGAGTTAGTCTCATTGCCAGAATCTGATGATGATTCAGGACTATATGCTCTCAAGATGGCTACACCTGTATGCCACAAAACACAAGAGCCAATTAATGAAATCATATCAGGCACTTCAATATACTGATAAAGATAAGGGGTTTATAAGCTTAAAAATGGTTCTGAAATACTGAATCACATATTGCATTGATTCCAAGTAAGGCAATTTAATGTAATGGTAGTTTTATTATATGGTGTCTGTAGGTGATGGTCAAAAAGTAACAACACAATAACAAAATGTTTTCAAAAGAGCTAATGCTGAAAAGCCTAAATGGGGGAAAGGGATGAAATGATATGATTTCTTTCAATGAATAAAGGTAACAGTGGTGAAAGAACCTGAATTTTCATTCATCTGGTGTTCCTCAGAAGCAGATAAGGCCTTCAGGGTTTGAAGCGTAGATACCACAACATTTTCCAGTCCTTTTTCACATTTCTCTTCAGGATTAGTAGGGACGGCATCAATAAGTGACACTGGAATATCACTACTCCCAATATTATTAGTTTCTTCCTTGTCTGCTCTGTACTGTACTGTGTGACTCTGAGAATCTTCCTCATCAGAACTATCCCTGAATCCTGGTGGAGGAGCAGCAATGGCCATATTTAGAGAATGCAACAGGAAGTCATCTTCATTATCATCACCTTCAGGAGGTGGGAGTGATGTCAAGTCTATGATATCATCACTAGAACCTGAAAGGCTGAGAAGAGCAGACCTATCGATTTCTCCAACCATAATGTCTTCCTCACAGCTGACATCATCTTCCTCTTCAGCATCATCTGTGTTCTCTGCGTAGCAAATATCATGAAGGAGAGGCTCTTCTATTCCTTCTGCACCTTCAAATATTTTCCCATCATGTAAACCTGTATAAACAGAATTAGCAGCAAAATGAAAACTTTCAGCATCTGGGGACAACTCCAAACTCTTAATGTCATTGGCATGACTTATATAAAGGGTGGCCTGTTTATCTAGTGCTTCTGGACTTTCATCCAATAATCTTTCATAACCAAGAGTTTGAGGATTCACACCATCCAAATCATGATCTCCAAAAATAAAAGATACTTTTGCAGCTCTTGGAGATGCTTGAATTTTCTTGCTTGATTCCAATCCTCCGGAAAAGGACAGCATGGGTTGCAGGTTTGAATTTTCATTATCTTCTGCCTCTGTAAAGTCATTATGTTTAGCCAACTGTTGATCAAGTCCACTTGAATTATAAACATTCTCTATGTACAGATGTCTATGTTCTTTTGGACAAATGACGGTATCACAGACCTCTGAAGTTTTTTGTTTATTATCAGCAAACATTAGGGCTTCCTGCTCTGCTGCTGAGAATGTAGTCATTTTGGTTACACAGTTCCACTCAGATCCATGATGATTAAATTTTCCTTTAGTTTCAATCCCTAAAAGAATGGTATATAAGGTGAAAAATGAGTTATCAAAATAGATTGTGCAGTAGTTTAATATTTCAGATTAAATTATTTGTAATTCCTAAACATTAACTCACATTAACTCTTTGAATATAGTGAGTTGCTCTTGATGCGTTCTTTCTATGTCATGGAAATACCCACAGTGAATTTAGAATAAAGATTTACAATCAAAATAAATAAAAAAGCAAAAAAAGAATTTTGACTGCCTACTCTAAAAAAAATACCATGATCAATTCTATTTGGGCACAAGCAGATAAGAAAGCTAACATGAATAAATAGTTCAGGTTCAAGAAGGTTACTTTTAACTTAGAAATCACATTTGAAAATCCAAATGCTTTACTATCAAAGTTCTCTACTGAATGAAGTAGAAGCTATTTGAAAAATAAATAACTATATTCTTTTGCATACTGCATTGTTCACCGCATTGTAGTATTAATTACCTGTTTCACAGGTCCCACAGTTTTTCTTGTTGGCCATATTAAATATTGATCGCCTGGAATCAACTAGGAGTCTATAATATCCAGCTGTTAAGCATGCAAGATTCATGGCATCTGATGATTCCATCAGCAATGTGATTGGCTATGCATTAAAAAAATATTATCAGAAATGCAGTATATTTTGGAAATAAAATGAATAATTAATTATATGTTAATACAGATATTTTAATTGTGTTTACACTTATATAATGATCTTAAACATATTTATTTTATGATGTTCAATGGATTTCCATGAATTTGTCAGATATACATAAGGAAAATAACAGCTTCTTATAGTAATACATTTGGAAGCATATGCAATAAATTGCAAAAATAACAATGAAACATTGCTATTAACTGTACTGTACAAAAACTGTTTACAAACTTACTAAGAATTGCAATAAAATAATCAGAGGAATTTGATTATCATTCCAATAATGTTTCATATTATAAAGAAATATATGAAAGAGACCATTATGTCTGGTGTAATCACCTGTGAAGAATTATTTAGGTCAGTTTGAAACTAGTTCTGGGTTATAGCATAGCTGAATTGTAGGATCAGACAAATAAGGAGTGTGCTTAGTTGCCCTAGTTTTCTACTCGATAGGTTGTATTTTATGATCAAGACTTACACTTCCAATAACACAAAGCAGTGGCTATAGAAGCTGAAGAAATGGTCTAGACAGAATACATAAGTATTTTGAAATAGACAGCTGAAATTTATGTCATTTAAATTTTGGGAAAGAACCCTGTGTATGAATAAAACAGCTATCTCTTTTAACAGACCTGTATGAGGCCAACATTGCTCTCTCCTAACTGACTGGGACATTCTGATCAAGATAGCATCTTTTTGAAAGTTGAATGAGAAAAATTACTGAGTTGTCATCACTATAACTTATCATTTAGCTGCCATAAGAATTCAGTCAGGTTCCCTTTAAAAAAACCAAGATGGCAATTTTTGAAATCATGTAACCCAAAAATATTAATATTTTTTTTTTTGGTTCAGTGCTATCAACACAGTAATAAAAACATCAAATGAAAAACAAAGTAGTCAGTTCTGTTTTGCTTGAAAGGAGTCAAGCAATATACAAAATTATAAGAGCTGCTATTTAATGCCCCTAAATTTAATCAAAGCAATACAAGGAAAATTCAGTGCATATTAAGAAAATGTTGTGAATAAACCTTCTATAAAGGATAACTATGAATTTTAGTTGAAAATAAATAAGAGATTGTGATTGAATTTTCTAAGATACATATCATTTGCAAAATTATATTTCAACTCATTCAAATATTTTCAAAATCTCCAAATACTTTCAAATCTCAACATTATTCCTATTTGGATTTTTTTAAATGAGTAAACTTTTGTTCTTTACTTATTTCACAATAGAATTAGAATACCAAATCTGAAAATAAGATTAAGAAGTAAAGAGAGCAAATATTTTGCTTAAAATATTGTGAATTTGTCATAATAATTTTATTTTAAAATAAACCTTTAAAAAACTTTTTTTAAAGTTTTCTAATGCCCATGCATTATTGCAATGTAATAGAATTAATTCTAAATTCTTAATTCAGTGTAGAATTCTAAAGCTGAATTAAATGGATCACCAAAACTGATTAACCGACTGAATTTTTTTTAGTTAATATTCTTACAATAAACAGCTCTTTGTTGTTAATACCCATCAACAATCAACTTACTTTTACGTCTAACACATGGAGCTCAACTCTGACAGTAGTTTCATCTTCTGCAAACATTTCAATTCTGTTCACGTGGCTAAAATCTGCCAGGAGAGCTACGAGATTTGTTTTAGTGTTGATTACATGGCTGATGCCATACCGTGGTCCCACTAGTAAGGTGACCTCAGAATGCTTTTCTCCCTGCTACAACACAGGAAATAAAAAAGACAGAACTTTATATAGTGTCATTATGCACGTAGATCCAAAGCAGTCTTATTTCACGGAATGTATTTCATTTAATTCTATTATTAGTAGGTTATAGATCAAAGTGCTCCTTTCAGAAAATATCTTTGAAGGTTTTCCTAAATTTACATACTTGGCCTTGTGAAAAACAAAGCTAATATAAATTATTTAACATTAGCAATATTATGCAAAATAACAGTAAAGATATTGTACAACTTGGTTCAATATTATTTATAATGCAATTATATGATTATCCCATTATTATCAGGCTTCAGTTTATTTGACAAAAACTATAAAGTCAGGAGAAACAAGCCCACCATTAATGTTGCCTTGAATACCCGTCCTCCATATAGTCGCAGTTCACTGAGAAACTTGAGATAGTGTACTTTGGCTTGCAGAGCAGAGAGCTGAAAGTAAAGGGGTGGGATTTTTAAAAAAATTATTCCAATGATAAAACACAGGTAAGTATTTTTTGGCATTGTGCTCATTTTTAGATTTTGGAATTTCCTGGCATTTTTGACCAGTAGAAAAGATTCTCCTTTTGGGGCTGTCTCTGGTTGGTACTTATTAGTCCAAAATGCTTCAGCAGATCTTGCACAAGTTCTTAGAATCTTTGGAATTCTATGGTTGCATTAATAACAAGCTGAAGGCAAATATATCTGAACTGAATTCTTTCTCCTAATCATAAACCAGGGAAATGCAGACAATACCATCGATTGCAATTCTTCTTCTTATTTTCCTCCTCCATGATCTATCTCTTCCCAAACCCAGTACTTAGTCAAGCAATAGCAGGCATAAGGCTTAAAGCATTCAGATATTAAAGCAAGGGACACTGTTGTAGATTCCAACACCATCTTAATTTATCAGCATAACTCTCGATCAGGGGTGAAATTCAGCAGGTTCTGACAGGTTCTGGAGAACTGGTAGCGGAAATTTTGAGTAGTTCGGAGAACTGGTAAATACCACCTCTGGCTGGCCTCAGAGTGGGGTGGGAATAGGGATTTTGCAGTATTCTTCCCCTGCCACCGTCACCATGCCACGTCCACAGAACTGGTAATAAAAATTTTGAATTTCACCACTGCTCTCGATTCTTACGTGGCTTAAAGAGATTCTGAGGAAATGGAGAAAACAGCATCTATAACCGCAAGCAAAATCTTTGCAATGACATTGAAGATCCACAACTCTAATAACATGAAAATCACCCACAAAGATTCAGTGAGAATTTTGCTTGACCATGCTGTTACTAAAGTCAGAAAGCCTTACGGAGAATTGACTTCCTCTATCTAATTTCAATATCTGACAAGACATTAGATTTCTAGATTTGTATACTTCTGAAATAATTCAGAAGAATTAAGTCAGGTTGATTCTAGTGTGAGCACATCATCTCTCTAATTTTCATTAAAGGGATCCCCACTTTCTTCAGGTGTATGTGGGCTATTTTAATCTGAACAACAGAAATATGCGATGCAGAAGGTACACAATGTTTTTTCCAAATCATTTACAAAATGCAAAACTAGTGCAAAACTAGTCTAGACTGTTTCAGACAAAGAAAGCTAAATACATCCTTGCATCAGACATTCCTCTGAAATGAAGGGAATTCAGGAGTGATTACCTCAATCTAGTAGAGCCTTTTAATATATGAATCATATTTCAGATATATCCAATATGATGTGAATTTCAAGAAACCACAGCCTACATCCTTTAATGTCAAAAGTTAATAACTAAACCAGAATAGTTCACTTGACGGTATTAAAAAAAATCAAGGGGATTGTATGATGAGAAAGATATATAGCACTGAAAGATTCCCTAGATAGATGATTTAAAACAGGAAAAGAATTTTCAAGCACTTTTGTTATGTAATGCAGAGCAAACTCAATCAAATCAAATGAACAGAAGTTATGTTCTTGTGACTAACAAAACCCAGTACTTTCAATATTAAAAATGACTTTGCTAAATTATTTTTTTCCATTGTTCTTTATACAGTAAGCACTGCACATTGTAGATCCAGGCAATCTCTAAGAAATAAGTTGGTCATTTTTTGTATCTGAAAGATTTCTTTTAAATTCTTTCTTTTGGATTATACTCTCTTTATTATGAAAATGTATTTCTATTGAGATGCAAATATATTACCTTTTTACCTGGAGGAACTAGATTTTGATTTGCTTTGACAAGGTGTGAAAGTGCTTTCTTTATGTTCTTTTCCTTCATGCTCTGCAATACAGCAGATGGAATAAAAGTTTCTAGTCCCCATTCTTTTCTGCAATTTAAAAGATATTTATAATTCACATTTCTATAAGAATTACCTATGTTTATAAGAACCCATGCAATCTGAGAAAATGGTTATACGGTCAAGCAAATATGGATTGTTTATCTATTTATGCTGTCAAAATTGTTCTTTTGTTTTTTTAAATTAAATATTCTTCTAAATTTATAGTGTATTCTTTATAATTATAGAATACAATATTATATTATATTATACTATATTATATTATATTATACACCGTAATCGAAGAATACAATCTTATATTATAAGCGCCATGGTGGCACAAACTTAAAATCTTAAAGAACTTGAAATAAACCACAAAAAGCTAAAAAAGATTTTGATCTTAAAAAGTTGCAAATGCATTGAGGCTCCCGTTAAATTTTAGAGTATTTAGTTTTACTCTAATATTTTGAAATTAACTATTAAAAATAGCTTCTCATGGGAACCAGATTTATTTTGCCTACCTGGTTCATAATAAAGATAAGCAACTTTATCATTTTGGACTTGGACAGGATTAAAAATTTTCAATAGAAGGGGAAAAAAGGCTGTTTTTGTGCTGATTAAATGTGATTTAAAACTGACACAAAACATAAAATTGGAAATATCTTTGAAGACCATTAGAAGTAAAAGAAAGGAATATAAAGGTGGTTTATTTGTTCAAGATTCAAATAAGAGATTTATTTCAAAAAGTTCTAGCAATCCTGTATGGACCTGTATGACACCAAGATAGAAATGTTGAGATTTTATAGATATGTTGATAGATAAGGAATGGGATATGGGATGTAAAGATGTCTGCTGCTAACCTTATGGGAACGAAGACTTATTACATTTGTCCACACATGTTATAATAAAGGTTGGAAGTAATTTTTAATACATATTTTTCCTTTATCATATCCTTTTTTTCCTGCACTTTTTATTCTTTTTTACCATTTTTTTCTTTTTTTAAAGTTTCCATTATTTTTAGTACTGTAATTAAATTCCTTAAAAAATGATATCCAAATAAAACAATACTGTTTCAAGGATATTAAAAGATAAATCAAACAGTAAATCAGAAATGATGTTGGTGAGGAAGTTCCAATGGTATAACTTAAATTGATTTGACAATCATCTCCAAGTATAAAATACGAGTTAAATTTACTTAAATTCTCATATTAACATAAATATTTTTAAGAGGGTTTTTTTTCAAATAGAACCATTAAATTTTACAGTAGCATTAATTTCATTACAAATTTCATATCTCTAATACTCACATGTTATGAAACTTCTATTCTATACTTACTCGATGTACTTTAGAGAAATTTTTTGAGAGTGTTTTGTGGTCACTGTTGCAATATACATTTGTAATGCTGCCAATCTCAGTGCAATATCATATTTTAGCTCAGGCCCAAACCTCTCCTGAACCACATCATTACAGCTCTGTCAAAAAACCAGCAGAGGGAGTATCAAGCTTAAGCATCTTTTTAAAATATTGCATTATGACTATCTCTTCTCCAAAAGGCAAGCTCATAATGATTGGGAACTAACACTGCCAGACAAACTATCGATAAATAAGTAGAGATAAAAAGGACAAATATATTAAGTTGATTAATTTGGAGTAACCAGAATAACTTTTATTTTAGTGTTTACAGTGCTAAGAGCAACCTATTCTAAACCAGACCCTTTCAGATTCACAGGAAGTACAAACTCCAGAAAATGTAACAGATTAAAATAACAACAACAAATGTGAAATCTAGCTCTTCTGTATTTCAAAATCATCAGCATGGATGCCAAAATCCTTTGTGTTGTTTTTATTGATATTCCCATTGTAATCAAAATATTTTTTAAAAAATTAATTGCAAGGAAGCTTCATAAAAAGAACCACGTGAGTCACTTTATTGACATTTCATCGTGCTGTTTTCAACTCTGTAATATACCTGTACGTAGAGATATTCAAAGGCAACCACATCCCGTCGTAAAAGGTCAATAGGATCCTTTGGAACAAAACTGACTCTGAACAGGCATCTCATTTTATGGGAGCTTGGCCTTTGGGTCACCTAGAGAAACAAAATACTTTCATTATAATTCAGAGACATTGCCCTCCAAACTGTGCAAAATAAACCATGAATTTTCTGTTTTTCTCCATATTACTTTATATTGAGTAGCCAAGGCAATGTTAATCAGAGTGTACTTAAAAATGCTTAGCCAATTCTAAGAAAAAGCATTTCAACACCAGAGACAGGTATCGTTTACAGTATCAACCAAGGATGGAAATTTCCTAGAATCCGTATGGGTCAATATAAAAGGAAAAAAGAATGACATTGCTGTAGGCAAATACCGTATTAAAGAACACCCAACCAAGCAGAAGAAATAGATGAACTCTTTGCTAATCAATTAACAAATGTATGTAGGAAACATATCACAGTAGTAATGGGGGACTTTACCTACTCTGATATCAATTGGTAGACAAACTCTGCAGCAAGTGGGAAATCAAACAGATTCCTAATCAATTTAGTGGATAACTTTGTCATCCAAAAGGTAGAGGAGGGAACTAGGGGAAAAGCTATATTGGACCTACTTTTTATTAGTAGAGAAGAAGTGATAAAGGAAGTTGAAGTTGCCAGAACTTTGGGCGAGAGTGACCATGTCATATTGGAATTCAATATAATGCAAACACAAGCAATAGAACATAATCCACCCAGTATCTCAAACTTCAACAGAGCTGATTTTAATAAATTCAGAGAGAGCCTAAGAAAAATTCCATGGATGAAAATTCTAAAAGGGAAAACAACGCAAGAAGCATGGGAAACACTGAAAGATTTGACCATAAAAGCCCAACACAATACCACTGAAAAAGCAAAACAAGAAATCCAGGAAGAAACCAGCATGGTTGCACAAAGATCTCTCTGAAAGACTCAACTGAAAGACAAAAAGGATAATTTAAAAAAGGGAAAGAGAAACACATAACTAAGGCAGAGTATCAACAGATAACCCAAATCTGCAAAGATGAAGTCAGGAAAGACTCAAAATTAACAAAGACTTGCAATAAAAGTCAAAGAAAATAAAAAAAAATGTTTCGACAGATAAATTACAAGAAAAAAAGGTCAAGGAAACATCGGTCCACTAAAGAGAGAAGAGGGCAAGGAAATAACAGGTAGTAAGAGAAAGCAGAACTGGTTAACTTATTCTTTGCATCAGTCTTCACACACACAAAAACCACAAAATCTACCAAAATATAACTGTAAAAGACACACTAAAAATTAAAATTAAAATAAGCAAGAAAATGGTAAGAGAAGACCTGCCTGATCTTGAATATAAATCACCTGCACCTGAGAAAAAACAATGGATGGAAACTATTCAAAAAGCGAAGCAACTTGAAATTAAGGAGAAACTTCAATAACAGTGAGAACAATTAACCAGTGGAACAGCTTACCTTCAGAAGTTGTGGGTACTTCTGTGAGTGGGTAAATCACTAGAGGTTTTTAAGAAGAGACTGGACAGCCACTTGTTTGAAATGGTATAAGATCACCTGCTTGAGCAGCGGGTTGGACTAGAAGACCTCTAAACTCCCTTCCAGCTCTATTTTGATTATTATTATAAACTGGATGACAGAGAAATGTTTATTTGAGTCTGGAAAAGAACCATTCTCATTATCATATATGCTTTTAAATCTATAGATAAATCTACAGACTTCCTTCTTTTAAGTATCTTATAAATATAGGAGAAGTACCTGTTCTAACCTTCTAACATTATTGGATACACCATGTGGAAGAAAAAGAAAACAGTGTCCTTCCCAAAATGAGTTTAATTTGACTAATCTGATTTTGCCCTCAGTTTAGAAAATTCAAGGGTCCAAGATTCTACTGCATGACTACTGCTACAGTGCTGGTCACAGTTCCTGTTAATTTGCACTGGGAGAAAAGGTGTTATTGCCACCCCTGAGAGAATTCTATCCACTGGGAATAGTTGGAAAAATGTGGCAGAAACCTAAGCTTTGAAACATGGTAGAATCAAATCTTTTCCTTCTCTATCTTGCTATTTCTCTTGGCCTGATTTGTTAAATTATGCAATCCTTGAGATAGCAGAAGGCTTTTCCTAGAGGCCAGTTGAATATTTCAGAGATATGCAAACTTGGGAGCTGCCGTTGAATATTTCTAGCACTAAGGTGTTTAAAAATGCAATTTGAGAGTTCAGATAAGCTGTCTCTCAACAGCAATATTATTTACAGATGTATTTATTTATTGAAATAATGTATATTTTGCTCCGTCCATTTTTTCCTGTTATTTGTTATTTGAGGTTTTATTTCTTAATTTAAACCACCTATACCATCTGCTTCTATAGATCAACTTTCCTTAATCTGGTGTCCTACAGATGTTGAGACAACAATTCCTTTGATAAGATTAGAATTTTAGGAATGGCCTCCAATCCCCAGGAGACTCTGCTATCCATCAGACACCTTGCATTGCTGCAATACCACCACCAGCTTGAGGCACAGGTGACCAATTTGCAGAATGTCACAATAAAAAAAATCCAAGCAAGGGTCATACTACCATAGTAAGCAAGCTTCTAAGAATCTCGTAGTGCTGTGTCTAGAATATTTCAGATTCTTAATGATAAATAAATGAAATCACTCAGAATTTTTGTCTGCAGCTTCAATTATCAAAATAGGTAGATTATAGTTTTCCCGAATAAGACATCACGTTTTGTTTTAAAAGATTCAGGGTAATTAGAGATGTGCACAAAATGGTAAAAAAAACTGCTTTGAACTTAGAAAAGGTTACTCCATTCTGGAAGTTCTGCCAGATTGGGTCAGCTGCAGGTTAACAGAAATAAGGCCCAGATTGTTTTGGTTGTCCTGAGTTTTGGGGGAAAGAAAATCTGGATAGTGTGAGTAAGGTAAAAAAAAAGTATCTTCTCTCGACCCTCTCTTTCTCTTCCTATAGCCAGTGAGCTACCCACATTTAATCTTCCCAGCATCTGAACTTCATCCTTACCTTAACCCTCAAACTGACTTTACTGCTATCAGCCTTGTCTCAGCAGAGCACTTGCTTGCCCACATGTGTTTGAGTTGCCCAATATCCCTCCCCTGTGTTCTCTTCATTTCCTCTTCCAATGTCCTTGGTTTTTTCTCCCGATCATTCCCCAAATTATTCTGCCAAGAATAACTGTTTCAGTGAGTGATCAAAGCAAAATAGCCCAATTTAAAGATTAAAAAAAGAGAAATGCATTTTTCTTTTGGAGATGGACTATAATTATTCAGTTGGTTTATACATGAAATATTTTTACTTTTCTATGGGGAACCTTTTTAGAACTCCTGGCAATAAAATGAGGTGAATAGGGGGAAAGTCAGATTGCTTTAACTCTGAAATCTCTAAGACAAAATGACACCTAAAACAGACTTAACGATTACGGATATGTGTGGGCATGAAAAACACCAATAACCAATGATGAATAGCTACAAATGGCTATTTGAAAATTTTAGTTGGCAATTTCTCAATCTTATCACAAAAGTCATCATGAAATATGGCAGCTAAAACCATGATAAGCCTGAAATGTTTTGGAAAAAGTCTTTTAGACAATGAAATAATCTAATAACAATATACAGTATACCTGGAAAAGGATTTTGGGGAAAAAAAGAAAATACTGCTAATAATAAAAAAATGGGAGAGGTCTATTATGTTTTGCAGTTGTATATACCAATGACAACGAAATATTGTGTGGACAAAAGGAAAATGGACAAATATAAACATAATCTAGAAACTGATATTTTACAGACAGTGAGGAAATTGAAAGTGAAAAGATTGGATATATCAGCAATTATGAAGTATGAGGATATTTCCATTCAAGTATGAAGTACTTACTAGAAGAAATATAAAAGTTTTAGAATAACTAGCACATTCAACCATTATTGAATGTTATTGAAAAATTGGCAGGGAAATCTGAAACATGCAATGCCTACAAAAAAACGAAAGAATTATTGTGAGCTAGAAAAATTCTGAGGAAAGAGTAAGCCAATAGTAAGGTGATGGACTCAGTTATACTGGTGGTATTAGAATACCATTACCATTAGAAGACTTTCAAGGCCTGACTAGGGACAGAATATCATGAAGAAAATCTACTTATGCCCGTGATGGCGAACCTATGGCATGCATGCCACAGGTGGCACGCAGAGCCATTTGTCAGGGCACACGAGGTGTTGCCCTGTCAGCTCTGGTGCCCACATGTGCACTGGTCAGCTGACTTCAGCTTTCTTTTGAGGCCATTTTTTGCTCTTCGGAGACTTCCCTGAAGCCTCCGGAGCATGAAAAAACAGCGCTATGGCCAACCTGGAAGTTTGGGAACGGACTTCCGGCTTGCTCGTTGGGCCATTTTTCATCCACCGTTGCCTTCAGGAGGCTTCCCTGAAGGCTCTGGAGGGCGAAAACACAGCCCTATGGCCAAACCGGAAGTTCGGGAATGTACTTCCAGTTTGCTTGTAGGGCCGTTTTTCACCCTCTGTTGCCTTCAGGAGGCTTCCCTGAAGACTCAGGAGGGCAAAAAACGCCCCACGGCCAAATCGGAAGTCACTTCCAGTTTGGCCATAGTGTCATTTTTTTCCCTCTGGAGCCTTCAGGACGCTTCCCTGACCGTAAGGCTGTTTTTTGCCCCTGAAGCCTCTTGAAGGCTCCGGAGGGCGAAAAACAGCCCCACAAGCAAACTGGAAGCTCCTGAAGCCTCCAGAGGACCTCCCAGGGGGGAGGCTGTTTTCACCTTCCCCAGGCTCCTAGAAAGCCTCTGGAGCCTGCAGAGGGCGAAAAAAGAATGCCAAAAGTGGGAGAGAGTGCTGGTTGCACACACATGCGCACAGATGGGGGAAGCATGCGCATGTGTGGCATGCCCAGGCACAATCCCCCTGCACTCCCCCTGATTTTGGCACGTGAGCCAAAAAAGGTTAGCCATCACTGACCTATGCAGTAACTGGAAGATGACATTAATGGGATATAATCAATCAGATAAATTCTGCAAAGCAAAGTATGGGCAAATGCAAAAGCAAGAATAGGAAACCTTTTGGACACCTACTAAAAACATACTTCTGACAAAGGAGGCATTAAAAAGTACTGACTCAAAGGGTGTCCATATTTCTTCTACTGTCATATTCAAAATTTGTCTTATTTCCAGTTTATAAACAACTGCACGGAAATACACTTATTAGGTGAGTATTTTGACCATATCATTTTAATATGATATGTTAATATCATATGTTCCACCTCCAAACTTGAATGCTTAGTCTTAGTGGATAAGCATATCAGGTGATGTTATTTGTGTAATGTTGGAGGATGTGGCCTAAGGTGATCAACACCCTATTATCAAGGTGTGTAAAATTAATAGGTACGGTAGGTTCTTTTCCTCAGGCAAAATGGGCCAAAAAAAGAGATGTAACTGACTCTGAAAAATCAAAATTGAAAAAAGCCTTTCAGAGGGATGCAGCACTCTTGAAATTGCTAAGACCTTGGAGTTTGATCACAAAACTATCAACCATTTTGTTTCAAATAGTCAATAGGGTCGGAAGAAATGTGTTGAGAAAAAAAGATGCACATTAACTGGCAAAGTTTTGAGAAGAATCAAATGTGAAGCTACCAGGAACCCATTATCCTACATATTCCAGAACTGCAACCTACCTGGAGTCCCCAGAAGTACAAGGTGTTCAGTACTCAGACATGGCCAAGGTATGGAAAGCTGAAACCCCACCACTGAACAAGACATATAAGTTGAAATGGCAAGACTGGACCAAGAAATATGTGAAAATAGATTTTTCAAAGGTTTCATGGACTCTTGACGGACCAGATGGATGGGCCCGTGGCTGCATTAGTAATGGGCACAGAGCTCCATTTCAAATCAGATGCCAGCAAGGTAGAGGTGGGGTATTGGTATGGGTTGGTATTATGAAAGATGAGCTAGTTAGACTTTTTCGGGTTGAAACTGACACTCCATGAATTGAAGGCTTATGACTGTTATTGAAAAGGAGGATGGCTATATTGGTCACTGATTTGTTTTGAAATGTCACAAATGTTTATTTGTACGTTTTGAATTGTTTGTTTATTATTCTCACTTTAAGAGATGTAAATAAATGAGTTGAGCAAATTTTCATTTTTCATTTAGTTGTATAATAATTCTGCACATTAATAGTTGCCCAAATATAGTGCACACATAGGTATTTTCCTAAGAAAGCCAAAGCTTCACTTTTACTTTCTTAAATATTCAGGTTTGAGGTTTATTAACATTTTAGATGGAATGAGAGCATTGTAGTTGTTCAATAATAAAGTTAATCTTTCAAAATACAACTTAACTAATAATTGTGCAGGGTAGTAAATATGCATTCAAATTTGAGGAAAAGTACTGACTTTAATTTTCTACATGTAGATGTCAGCTTCTCTTCCATTAGGGAATTAAGTGAAGCACATAATATCATTAGAGGTGCCTCAACTTTTGCATATAACTGTCTCTGTACAAAGTTTATCTTTCTGCATAATCATAAAGTATACTACTTATTTTGAAAGATACTTGATTCCAGTTTTGAGGCAAATATGTCTACTTTCTGAAAATGTTTTAGTCTATACAATATAATTTTTAATATTTTAGTTCAATTAGAAACAGATTCAATGTTCTATTTTATTTTACTGGGACTTCTATGTTGCTCCAATCCAATAGGACTCTGAGTGGCTTACTTTCTCTTCTAATTAAAATACCACATCATAATAAAATTAAGGAATTAAACAAAATAATAACAAGAACAAAATGCTAAAGAAAAAACTAAAAATTACTGAGAACAGAATATTCAAACACGGGCCAAGAAAGGGGTTCTAACTTATTCTAGATGCTCTCTTAGGACTTTCTTTAAAAGCTGAAACATAAATGGATGGGAGGTGGACTTGATTTTTTAAAAAAAATAATTTTATTTATAGTTTTTTTCTTTAACATCCATAAATGCTTAGTGAACAGTGTATTGTCTGGGTTGATGTACTTTATACACAATACAAATAACAATAATAATACTGTTGAGATACACATACCAATAATCTTTCAACTTCTAACATTTATAGTAATTATAATATATTCTATTATCTATCAGTATACTTAATACTATTTCCCAATTTCTACATTCTACCTCTATTTTCTAACCCTTCATGGAGCAATTACCATATTAAGAAGTATTCTATATCTATCTGTCATCTGTTGCCCTTTTTAGTATTTCAACTCTTATTGACAAATCTCCAAGACTTGATTTTTATGGAAGATAATTCATGAATGATATATCCATGCAAGTTGCTGAAACCTTGAAAGACAATCAAGCGCATCTCCACTTCAAAAAAAAATCTAATATGTTCCTTAAGGAGCAAATTAGATCTATTGCCCACTAGAACAATCCTGTATACTCCAAAGCTGAAAATCGGCAACCAGACTGACCACCATGTGCAACACAGTTTGTAGAACCTTCAACAAATACTGCTGTACATGGTTTTTTTTTTCTGCTAAGACTATTTCTACTTATAGGAATATCCATAAGCATCTTTAATTCATGATATTCTTACTTAATATACCTGCCTCTTGTAAGCCATTTAAATGGAAGTGTTCTAGAAATAATATCAATAACAATACTGCTTTCTAAAAAAAATTTCAAAGGTCATTTTTTAACCAACTACAGCTTAAAAATCCACATTATACATATAATTGAATTATTAAACAAACCTGAGTTAGTGTCTCTTGTTCATGGAGCAAGAGAAGTTTAGTTCCAGACCCATCTGTTTTTTGTTCCAGCATCAGAGAAAAATGTTCAATACACTTGATTGAGAGTTTTTCTTGAAGGGTTAAGATGACATCCTTTATGATACAAGATTAAAATGAAAAAGGAGAAATGAGATAAAAATAAAGAGCTAGAATTCAGCGTTTTGTAAATTCTCTGTTGAATGCAAGCAACTGGTATGTATGACCTGTTAATTTTCCAGAGAAGAATAATATATTTATTTAAACAAAACCTCATCTTTACATGTTCTTTGTTGTGATTTTTTTTATAATTGGAACTTGTTCTTAGATAATGACCCTAATTCTAGGCTTTTAACAGGTAGTGTAATTCCACAGATGTTATAGAGCAGGGATGCTGAACTCACATCGTCACAGCAGTGTCACATGACATATCAGGACTTTGTCCCTTCACTAAACCGGGTGTGGGTGTGACCAATGCATGACACATCCAGCCCATAAATTATGGGCTCAATTGTGGTCATACGTTGAGGAGAGGTCAGGCATGACAAGGAGTGGCTGGGAGGAGAGGGGTGAGGCAGGGCCAGGCGTAGCGAGGCACCCCTCAACCTGAGTGACATTGAGTTGGTCACGCCCACCCAGTCACATGACCACCCAGCCACACCTACCCAGCCAGTGATTAGGGCAGAGAACTGGTTGTTAAATTATTTGAATCCCACCACTGGTTGTAAGTCAAGGACTACCTGTACACTCAAAATAAAAGAGGCCATTCTCAAATACATGGAAGTACAAACATTTTGTTTCTTTGCTTCAGTGTTTCCATATTTCCATATTCATATTACCAAAACCAATAGGGAATAAAGACAAAGAAAAGTACCTATACTCTGAAAAGTAGCAACACTTTACTAACTTTACTGCATTGTATGGGGCTTAGCGGATTACCTAAACTATGCTTTGGCAAATTATATCAGATTGATAAAATAAAGATTTTGTAAAGTAGAAACCAAACTACAGGATGCATTTTATATTTTAATGCTCAGTGGCAGTCAAGCATAGGAATATACTGGAAGCTCCTAATCTTGGCAGATGTGGCCCTTAATGTTAGCATTGGGAATTGAATTTTTTTTCTGACCAAAGAACATTTGAAAAGTAGATGCTTTTATATTGGGAGTAGATGACTGAAAGACCTAATGGAGAATTTTGAAAAATAACTCACAACCTCCTTCTATTATGGATAGATGCTGTCACCTGAATCTGAGTCAAACCGCAACTGTTCAGGCAGTGCTCCTTCCTTCCCCTTGTGCTTTCATATGATATTGTCACAGCAAAAGTTTTATGAAATGTGTGAAAAACATTGAATTGCTTATAAACAATGACAACGTTCAAAGACCAGTAAGGATTCCACCATCTTCTCTAGCAATTTTATGTAGTAGACAATGTGGGGAAATTGCAGATTGGATACATATTTATGTGGTCTTTTCATATTATTAAATCTATATTTCCATTTCATTGTGTTATTTACATGATGGGAGATAAGCGAAACAATGAACAAGGTTTGATAAACCGCACAAGGTGTGTGTGTATGTGTGTGTGTTTGTGTGTATTACAGAGGTCTACATAATTTTCAATTAAGCTGCAGTCATTAAAATGACCCCTATTACTAATTATGAATGCTACATTAGATTTTATGAGCATGAAAACAATTCAAATCTTTAATTCACATTCCACAAAGTTACCCACCCCCTGGCAATACAAGTTCAGATTCTATACATGAGGGTTTTACTGTAAATATAATGTTTTCTTATTTTAAAATATTATAGAGATTTCATGTAATTTTATTTTTAAAATGTATTCATTTTTCCAAGGAAAAACAGCTTACCTTTATAGAAGTACTGCAATCAAAGCGAAAAGATTTGGTTTGCCCATTTTCAAGATATACTTTCAGAACATTTGGCATAAAAAGAAGTGAATTATCTTTAACTGTTTCCTGTTCAAAAAATAATAGGGTAAGAATTATCATATTGTCTTAAAATTAATCTAAATTTTATAAAAAATCATAATAGACACAACAAAAGCCTTACGTACACAGAACCTTAAATGTATTGAATCTCACAAAAGAAAATAATTAGTTTTGTTTTAAAGATAATATTAAATGGTTATTTTCACATAAAGGTTTGACTTACAAACTATTCGTCAAGATGATAAAATTCTAATACCCTGATTACTCTACTCTTTAATTAATTTGTGAGCTTGAACCTTGGGATGGAATTTGTTTTCATAAACCTGGATTTACTTCAGAAACAGTATCCCTATAAGAAACAGTTTTTAAAATAGAAACCATGTATCATGGAGTTAAAAAAAGAAAATGAAAAATCCCAAATATTTGCAATTGACATGCTGTTCTATCCCTCTGAATATTCCAAGTTCACCAGTGACAATAACTCCAGGCGGTCCAGACATTGCAATGATCCAGCATGCCAACTTTCTCTCTCTTTTAAATTGCAAAAACCCGTTCAGTGAGAAGCAAGAGAAGAGGAATCATTAATGTATTTGTATTTTTCACAGGAGTGAACAAGGGCAAAATCGAGGAGTTGAAATCCAAAGATACCAGAACTGAAATGGCATTCTTTCAAACAAAGCATGTATAAATTCCTGTACCAGTCAATGATTCTTATGAATTATTCATACTGAGCTGCTGTTTACTTTGCCAAGAACTAAACACTTCATTGTGCCCTTGGTTTCATAACGCATTTCTTTAAATTATTAAAATGTCTCAGAAAAAAACCACCTTTCTCCTGTACTTTCTGAAATATTTTATTACTCCAGAAAATCCACCCTGAAGTGCCTCAACAGTCCCTTGACAATTTTTGAAATAATAAATGATAATTCAATTTTTAATTTGCTTTTTTTTTCAAAATGCAATGACCACACATGTTGTAAAATAATATATTTAAAAAATTGCACTTCATACAAACAATGATCATAGTGATTAACTCTCCAGTATATAACAGGTTCACATTAAATGTGTGTGATTTAATATTAGGTTCATTTAAGCAAACAGTCTAAAAGATACACAAAGGTAGTGGTGATTGTATCTTGTTTCTGATTTTACACGTTTGAATGTCTTTGTGTCTTTTATGTTTGTGCAGCGTGACTTTCACACCAGTAATAAATATATTGCTCATGCATGCATGAAACTTAAAATTTTGTAAAATGAAAGAATTAATCCCATTTTACCTAGTTAAAAAAAGGCTTAAAATTGCACTTACTGAAACTTGGCCATTAACAATGACCTCTTCTGAGAATCGAACTTTGACAGGATTGGACTTCAACCTGGCCTTTTTGGCAGCACTGATAAATGCTGACTTAGGAGACTGGAAAAAGAGGTACGAGAAAAGAAAGAGATCATTTGATTGGTACTTAACTCTCAACCTTTTGTACAGTAAAGCTAATAAAAATACTTGGCTCATTTTTACCATAGACCTTAATGCTTTTCAGTGTGCTATTATGTGAAGAAGGGGAGTAAAAACAATTCATGTTGTCCTCTTCAAAATATGGGATATAAATAAATACAAATATAAAACCTGATGTTGCCAATCTGTTTCTTTTGTTATCAAATCTGTACAAACAAATATGTTGGAAGTCAGTGTATATTTTCCACAATATCAATTAGAAATGAAAAAATACAGCCTATGGACCAGTGGTGGGTTGCAGGCAGTAGGCCCCAGTACAGGTGTACTGGAGTCTGCCCGGAGCATCGGGTACCGTTCTGGTACGGTGCTCCCGAGGGCCCACCCGCCCGCCCACGCGCCTTACCCTGTTTTAAAGCTATCGCCGCTTCCTCACACAGCGCGTACAGCACCTGTATGATGCTCTGCTGAACAGCTGGAGCATCGCGGAAGCTTACGGAAGCATCATTTGATGCTACAACGCATGCGCGTGCCGCATGTGTGCGCGTGCGCCACATGCGTGCATGTGGGTGACGCTGGGGCCGTTCCAACTGTACCGGTTGGAACCAAATCTGGAACCCACCACTGGACACACAGGATTTATGGGAGCTTAAGGCACCAACTCAGCTCTTAAAAAGCTTCTCTCTCAAATTGGAATCCCAGCCTCACCCACTTTTGGAATGTGGTCCTGGGCATGTGATGCCAATGAAAGTTGGGAATCATGAGTTAATGTCTTTCTGCAATAATAATTCCTGACTGGCAACCAGTCACTTGGAACTCTCACGTCAATGCTAGAATGAAAATCATTTGCATAGGCACTTCCCATAGTAAATGTTTAAAAAATACATAGACGTTTGTCTGAATTGCAATTAAAATTAACAAAATTACTAGATAGATAATTCTTTAAACATATAAATAAGTTAAAAATATAAAGGATTGCACCTAACATGTTAGTAGAATAAACGGTTATAGTAGTACAGATAGTCCTCAACTTACAACAGTACATTTAATGACTGTTCTAAGTTACAACAACACTGAAAGTGACTTATGACCATTTTCACACTTATGACCGTTGCAGCATCCCCATGGTCATATGTTCAAAATTTGGAAGCTTGGCAACTGACTCTTATTTATGACAGCTGCAGTGTGCCACGGAGCTTCCTACAAGCAAAGTCAATGTGAGAGGCAGATTCACTTAACAACCGTGTTACTAGCTTAGCAACTGCATTGATTCACTTAACAACTGTGGCAAGAAAGATTATAAAATGGGCAAAACCTACTTAAATGTTTCACTTAGCAACAGAAATGTTCCTCATAAGTCGAGGACTACCTGTACTTGCTAGCATACTTTTAAAAACATAGTTGAAATAGGTTCACAAGACAGATTTATCTCCATTCCTGGAGATCTTTGGTGCCTCTGTATAGACACAAGGTATATAATTGTTGATTACATTCTAACGCTAACCTCATAAACATGTAATGTTTTCTTTAATGTTCAACTGTTCATATGTTCAGATTAAATAATATCAGTCATAAAAGCCAAATGGATTTGTGAGAGCAATTTTCTCAATTGCTTTAATTTTAATTAAAATGTTCATTTCTTCATATCTACAATGTGAGTATAAGAGTAACTATAAATTTATAAATGACTAATTTTTTAAGAATAATATAGTCTGGCTAAAATCCTTTGCTATTAATGAACTAAGCAGAAAGTATTTATTTTTGCAATATATTTATCAAGAAAACTAGAGTATTGATACAGCCTATAAAGATGGTATATAATAAAACAGCATAATGATTTGTTTTTTATGAGCAAAAATAAAACAAAAGCATGAATAGCCTACCCATGTTAGAAAAAAATACTTCTGCACTGATCTATGATGCCTTTCTCTAGCATGGAAGCAAACTGTCAATACAATATGAACATGCCAAGTAAAAGCAGTATATAGCTGATTAAACTACTGTGAGGAACTTATACTTTTATGCATCGTATATAAACTTCATACTACCAAAATATTAATCTACCATAGTTTGCTTAATCATGACCAATATACATAAAACCAATATACAGAAGAACTGATTAGTCTTCTACTTCCTTTTACTATCTTTTATTTCTTACCTTGGGGTGGGGAGAGGGAACCTTAAAGTTCCTTCTATGTCATATTTGAAGAAAATTGTGATTATTTTTTTTAAAACCCTCATATTAAAAAAAAACAAAACAGAATACTCACACTCTCCTAGCTGTATCACAAAAACCAGAAACTGAAAAGTAGAAGCTCTATAGCTGTGATGGCGAACCTATTGCATGCTTGCCACAGGTGGCATGCGGAGCAATTTGTTAGGGCACGCCAGGTGTTGCCCTGTCAGCTCCACCTGACTTCGGCCTTCTTTTTTGCCCATTTTTCACTCTCTGAAGGCTTCACTGAAGCCTGCAGTGGGGCGGGAGAGGCTATTTTCGTCCTCCCCAGGCTCCTAGAAAGCTTCTGGAGCCTGGGGAGGGTGAAAAACGGGTCCATTGTATGCCAAAAGCAGGGGGGGAGGGCGGGGGTCTCATGAGCATGTACGCAGGGGTCTCACACATAGCATTATGGATGTGGGCATGCCCGCGCACTACCCCCCCTGCGCTTCCACCAACTTTTGGCACACGATCCAAAAAAGGTTAGCCATCACTGCTCTATAGGATTTCCCAACCTAACTTGGACAAATAAGCACTCCATCACTGAGGAGAGCAAATCAAATGCTGATAGAGTCCAAGAAGTGAGTAAAGATGAAGTGAGGAAAGCTAAAGCTCACAATGAAGAAAGGCTTGCCACAAAAGTAAAAAATAACAAAAAAAGCTTCTT